ACCCCCTGCCACCCCCCTCCCCTCCCCAACCCCCCAGTGCCTATTGACTTTGAATCACTGACTCTACTGTTAGCAGTCCAGGGATTACTGAACAGTGAGCGACCCCAGGGCTTCTGGAAAGGAGACATACTTACTAATTTAGCACTTAATAATTTATACGAAAGGCATTGCGATGGATGCTAGGAATGCAATAATAAATAATTTGTAGCTTTAAAGTCCAGAGTATAATTAATTAGATGAATTCTTACTGCAATTGAGACAGTCTGACTCATAGCAGCCCTATAAGACAGAATAGAGCTACCCCTGTGAGTTTCTGAGACTAATTCTTTATGGGAGTAGAAAGCACCGTCTTTTTACAGTGGAGCAGCTGGTGGTTTTGAACTGCTGACATTGTGGGTAGCAACCTAGTATAACCACTACGCCACTAGGGCTTCTATTAGATAAATATAAAGGCCTTCAAATTTCTTTTTTTCCATGACTTTTTGAGGCTTTCTCACATATAGGTAAATTTCTGATAGAGGTATATGCACATTGGTGTGAAAAACTAAACCAATGAGGAAGAATGGATTTAAAGGGGGATTAAATCTAGCTCAAAGGAGCCCTGGTGGCGTAGTGGTTTCGCATGGAGCTTCGATCTGCAAGGTCTCGGCATTTTGAAACCACCAGCCTCTCCGTGGGAGAAAGATAGGACTTTCTACTCCGGTAAAGAGCTAGTCTTGGAAACGCAGCAGGGGTAGTTCTACCCTGACCTATAGAAGCGCTATGAGTGGGAATCGACTCGATGGCAATGAATTTGATTTTGGTTCGGTTTGGATTTTGCTCAAAGGAATCCTGGTAGCGCTCAGTGTACACTTGGGACTGCTAACTTCGAGGTCAGCGGTACAAATTGCCGGCCTCTTGGGGCAAGGATCCATGGTGGCACATTGGGTGGTGACCAGATGTCCTGTTTTGGGGCATTTTTAAAAAGTCCCGATTTTTGGAAAGAATGCACGACAAGCTAGGGAATGGTCTAGTTGGTCCATATAGACCAAATTTTTAATCAAGAACCGCCCACCGCCCCGTCAATGGTGTCCCGCTTTAAATCTGGTCACCTTAGAAGCATGCGGTTACTAACCGTATGGTCTGACGGTTCAAATTCACCATCCACTCTGGAGAGAAAGAGGAGGCTGTCTGCTCCCACAAAGATTTATAACCTCGCTGCCCCACCCCTCTGGGTTTGGAGCTAGTTTGCAGAGCGATGACTAAGCGCACCACATAGGTCGGAATCACTGGTAAATATGAGACAAGCTGCGGCGCATATTTCTTCTTTATTTTTGTTTATAACAATGGTGATATTAAATATTTCTCTTTGTAAGGTTGACTGAGTTTGCTAATCATAATGGTTCTCTAGTTTTGTCCACGTCTTGTGGTATTTAAGAGTTATCATTGTTTTTTATTGATGAATAAATTCCACAGTATGAATATATCAGCGCTCGATTATCCGTCCCTCTCTATATGTTTGGCTGTTTCCACGTCTTTGCTATTGTGGAAATTGCTGCAATAAGCATAGGTGTGTGTATTAGTCTGGGTACTTTGGAGAAACAAATCCACAGCAATTCATGTATAAGAGAGTTTTATGTAAAGAAAGTGTGCATCACGAAAACATCCCAACCCAATGCTGCCCAAGCCCACAAGTCCAACAT